TTAGTGATATATGTCTAACTTTTGGGGTGGATAGTGTATGTGCTTGAATTGGTGGTAGGTATGCATGTGTCTAGGCTGGTTTGGATGTGTATGTGCCTGAGCTGGTAGTGTGCGTATGTATGCACCTAATTGATTTGTGTGTTTGTATATGTGCAATTGTGTCACATTCTCCTGTCTAACAGTACAATATTGAGATCCTTAGAATTGGCCTGACCCCACAGGGCAACAGTCTAACTAACGCTAATCCCTTTTAATGGTTTCATTTGGCAAAGTTATTCTTCACTCCTGCTCCTAAATGCTGTTACACTGATCTTTGGTTAAAGATGGATAAATTTCAGAGGTAAACGAATGAAGCACCTTTGATTCTTTCAAGACAAAAAATATATGTTTTGATACAAGGTGTTGTGATCTGAAGGAGGTGAAATGGAACCTTTCATAAACCCATTCACTCTCCACTAGCCAAATTCTGAACTTTGTTGTATCACTGACAAGTACGGATGCATTTCCAAAACCCAGTAGTTTACAAACACACACACAACCTCATTATGTACGCCACCCCTTTACTTCAATACTACATGAATGAAAAGCATAAACACATGCACAGGGTACATACAGATGTTACCTTTAGATTGATCTAACCAGGGTTAGGTCTATCTAAATGCCCAGTTGTACAGGTGTGCAGAGAGGTTAAATCATGCCCAAAATGGCATGCCCTATCTAAGTTAGTGCACCTGACCAGGTGCACTACTTAGACAGAGATTGGGTTAACCCAATCTAAAAAAGGGTTAATCTGATCTCACAAATGCCTGTACACATACACAGCATAGCTCTGGCCTGGGAAAGTCCAGCCTGAAGCTGCACTATTCCCTTCCCCACCGCAACCCTGACTGGTTTTTAGATCCCAACCCCCCCAACCAGCCAACCTCCCTTCTGCACTCTGGACCCACCAGCCCCTTCCGCACCAGCGTCCCCTGCCACCCTGATCCCACCTACCCTTCCCCCACCCTAAATTAGTTACACTGCTTTCCCTAGCATGGATCTCAGGAGTAGTGAATGGCTGCTTGTGTCGCTCTTGGTCTATGATCCCGCAGCTTAAAGCAAGCCACATGAATGTAGAAAGGGTGTGGTGAATGGCTGTACACACCCACAATTTGTGCTCATTTCCATTGCTAATGACTCAGTAGATCTCCTCAGTGAATGGTTCTTTGTTACTTGTTTGGACGGCAATCTGTGACTTTTAACTTTCTTTAACCTTCCTTATCCCAGGAAAAGTTATTCGGAAATTGTGACAAAATTGCACTGATTCCTCTAATGCTCTTGACTCCTCTTCAGTCTGGCTTAAGCATAAAGGTAGTTTTATTTTCATCAGTTGACTTCTAGTGAATGGCAAAGGTCAGGTATCTATGTTAGATTCTTTTATGTATGGAATCGTTAGTAGTGCTAACCACAAAGTAGTGTTGAATTGCCTACAGTGTAGTGTTGAATTAGCTGAGATATAGGACATTTCTCCTGAATTGACCTACTCATTCTTTCTAGAGAGATCCCAAAAAATAATGCTGCGGGATTTTTCATCTGCTCTGAGTATGGGACTGTGAAAAGTTCTCTTTCATTACTCCTGTTCTGTAAGTACATAAGTGGCCCTTGGAATGAAAGGGCTCAGGCCCTGACACTATCACTCAGAGAACATACAGCCAGAACCATGCCTTTGGGCCCCGTGCTTTGGGAGGGCCCTGTGGACAGTGCCATACAGGCTGCATCGACAGCGCCATTGGCATGTGCTGAGGGCGCCACGCGCCGCTGACTTTGCTCTCCAGCTGCTCACCACTGGCCACCCCTCCCCCGCTCCATGCTGTGGCCACTCACCACCCAACACACTTCCCACACAAGCCCCGCACAGGCTGATATGCCCCAGATCCTACACACCCTTAGAGTCAGCCCTACATACGGCTTTATAACATGCTTTTGCAGTTATATAAATGAAACTGGATGATGTATATTTTTACTTTCTCACCACCCACTGGTTGTTGGGACTTAGATGAAAAAGGGGAAGTTGGCTGAGGTGCAGGATAGAGAACATAAAGGTAATAAGGGCAGGGAGATAGATGCTAATAAAACTCCTGCTTGTGGTGTGACTGAAAGAAACACTATATATTTTTCTGACAGTACAGCCCTGACCTTTTCAAAATATATGAGTCTCCAATTACTCCAAAAATCTTGGGTAGTACCATTAGCTAGAAGTACCTTTTTCCCAATCTCTGTTTTAATAGAGTGTTAAATGATAGCATTTTTCTTCAGTATCTCACCAGAGTCATGCAATTTTCAGCTCCCAGGTAAGTTTAAGAAATAACACTTTTTGGGATCACCCAGAAGCTTCAGACGCTCATTACTGTCCACTTGGTTTGCATTAACAAGCTTCCATCTTTTTCAGTTGTAATTCAAGGTGTTGATTTTGATCAATGAAACTCTACATCACATGGACACTGGCTAATCTTTTTTTATAGAAGTGTTACTGTACATGAATTCATAAAGTGATTCAGGATCCCTCTAGTATGATTATCATTAACAGAAAAATCAAATTATCATTGTATTATTATTTTTCACTATTTTTTAAGAATTAAAAAATAAAGAGCTATAGGATCATAGAAGAGACAAGAATTTTAAAATATTTTCCTATTTTACCACTTAATTTTGTTTATGTAAAGTACTTACCTGAACACACAAAGAATTATACTCCCTGTTGTAAGAGCAATCAGAGATGCACTATGACCAAGGGTATAAATTGCTTTCACGAGAATATAGAAATGAACCTGTGAAAAAAGATATGGAAAAATCACAAGTTATAAAGAGGCTGCTGGCATATATTACAAACACATATGTATACAAAGGCCATCCTAGTGACTTGGTTAGAAACATATTGATAAAATGTAGTAAATTATATAACCTAATTTAGTTTGTGTGACAATTTTCACCATTTAAAGCATTCTAAAGCTGTCACTTCATACACGTGGGCAACTTAAAACACTTTCAAAATGGCGAAGTCACCTTAATTAAACCCCATTATATGTGTTTTAAATATAAGGCGAACTGCAGTAGTGTGTCTCAGCCTACCTAGTTCACCTTTATTACACATACAGGCAACCCCTGCTTAGCACTCTTAATTGGTTCGTGAAAAACTGAGTGTTAAGTAAAATGAGTCTTAAGCAAAACTGAAAGTATTTGATGACCCAAGATGGCAACCGCAAGCGTTATCACGAAACTCACTGAGCACTTAGTGAAATCAAGTATCAATTTAAAATGAGCGTTATAGAGAAATAGTGCTAAGCAAAACAGCGTTAAGTGGGGATTGCCTGTATATTTAACTGGTGTTTTTCAAAAAGGTAATTAGCTGCTTTGTGCAGTGCCCAGTGTGCCCTGCCTCCTACTCTACAGAACTACAGCCAGGCATAAAACTTGCACCAACCCGTGGAATGTCTAGGGCACTATACTTAAAAGTACTTTAAGTACAGTGCAAACAGTGCCTTTGGAAATGCCTGCCCTACATGTGTATAGGGACTCATTATGATTATACCTTTGCTAAAACACTGACCAAATGTTTTGTCTAGGAAGGACAATTGATTGGAAGCCAGATGGAAATAAGAATCCTACCTTTTAAAGAACCAAATCCTCCTTGGAGTGCTCATTTCTACCTGATTTACACCTTGTAAGGACCACTGAGTACCTGGCTGTCAGGTTCTCAAGGATGCAAAAAGAAAGCAGGGCTGTGTGAAGCTTTGGTTTGCAATTTGATTCAGAGACAATTCGGCCCAATTCGGAGGCCGAATCTCCAAATCCGAATCAAATCACTAGAAGCTTAAAACTTTCTGAATCGACTCGGAGCCTCCAAATCAATTCAGAAAAGATTTGGAAGAGATTCGGCAATTCAGAAGGTGGTCTTTATGGGGAAACAGAAACTTACAAGGGGAGGGGGGAAGGACTGACATCTCTAGCTGGCCAATTGATTGTGATTTCTCCCTGACTGCTATTCCAATCACAGTGTCTGGGGGGAGGGACATAGAAACAGCATAAAAGCCTCTGTACGTAGGCTTTTCTGTCCCTTTCCTGAGCTGTTTCTGCCTGAGTAACAGCGTCTCAAAGGTATTGTGGCTACTGGCCTGGTTTCCTAGTCAGTGGCCTGCTACTTTTTGCTGTTAGAAAGGATTGGATAGGATATCGCTTATCTTAGCATCTCCCTACTTTACTATTTATCCAATTCATTTCTTTCAATTTATATTTGTTCTCTTTTTTTATATTTGTTCTCTTTTTTTTTGCAATACTTTTAAAAAAGAAAGCTCAGTGTTTTCCCTGGCAGTGTGATACATCACAGTGCAGGGAAGCACACATTACACACACTCACACATCATAGAAGAAGTCAGATATTTATAGAAGAAGAAGAGATTCAGAATCAGATTATATATAGTTATTAGTTATTAATATTGTTATAGTTTGTTTACATACAGACTAAAGGCAACACAGAAGTCAGACAGAGATTCACATTGAGATTAACACACACAACACAAAACTCAGAGTTCTAGTAGAAGGAGATATATTATTTTAGGTACACATTACAACACAGAAGAAGAACAAGTAGTACAGTAATAGTCACACATTCATATTAATAGCACATCACAAAAGAAGAAACCATATATAGTTATTAATAACCAAAGCAGAGTCCAGTGCACACACCACAGAGGAAATAAAACACACAACACAAAAGGAGTCGCACTTCACATTCATAATTTATAGGAAATAAATACATCACAGCACAGAAGATGACAGACAGCACACATTTTTACATAGTTCTTAATAATCATTAATCAATCAAACAATCAATCAAAGAAGAGTCCAGGGCATGCAACACAGAGGAAAGAAAACACACAACATAAAAGGAGTCATAACAGGAAAGATTAATATGGAGCATGCTGGAGAAGCAGGTACCAGACCTTCTGGCAGGGGAGGGAGAGCTAGAGCTGCAAGTTCCCTGCCCCTCAAACGTAGACGCATCCTCTTCCCAAGCAGCCATGAGGCTTCTGCTGCCAGGGGAAGCAAGGAGGTGGGAGCAGTACCTGTACCTGACGTTCCTGCACCTGCACCACCTCCCCTAACTCCAGCAATAGGCACCGTCTCACCCACACCAATGCCAGCTCCCAGGTGTGAGCTTCCCATTGCCAGAGGAGGAGCTGGAGCTGGAACCAGGGGACCTGAATGCCCTGGCTCAAGCAATTCTGGGGACCAAGGGGGAATCAGAGTTTGTGCTCCATACCCCTCAATGTTCTCCTAGACCCAGGTCTCCTTATCTAGAAAGCAGGACCTCGGAGGAGGTTCAGGTTGCAGAGGCTCAGGCAAGTGGCTCAGCTGAGGCAGCTCCTTCTGCTGTCGTGCCTCAGCCTGTTGAGGAGGGGATAAGAAAGCACCCCCACCCTCAACCCAGAAGCAGGTGAGTAGCGTAATGTGGGAGCATTTTGAGCTGGCAGATGATCCCAAGTTTGCTCTAGTATGCCGAAGGCCAGTACTGCTGAAGGCAGATCAGCCAAGGCAAGGAGGTGAAACACTTTACCACCACAGCGATGCTGCTGTATCTGAGGAGGCAGCACCCCCTTGCCCTTCTTTCTGCTCAGCCTGGCACCAGTGCGAGCATGCCCAAAGGGAAGTTCCCCGCTTTCTCCAAAGCCCCTGTCCCCCCAAAGCAGAGGCAGGCCACCATGGAACAGTGGGAGAAAGCTGCAGACAGAGGGGGTGAATTCCCAAGGTGAGCAAGATCACCCAGACCATTGAGGAGATGTTTGCTTTGGACAGCCAGCTCTTCTCCCTAGTTCAGTGGCCAGGGTACAGGTGGCTCATGGTGCTTGTGGTCTCATCTTACCAAGTGCCCACATGCACCACCTTTAGCAGGATGGTGGTGCCCTCCCTGTATGAGGCATGAAGGGAGTACTTGAGGGAGGAGCTGCGCAAGGCAGGGCCACAGGTAGCCTTGCACTTTACCTCTGACATCTGGAGCAGCCGGGGTGGTGATCATGCCTACCTCTCCCTCACATGGCACTGCTGAGATCAGTCAGGCCATCGGTGGGTTCTCCTCCAAGCCGAGGTGCTGAATGAGTCCCACGCGGCAAGGGAGATCATGGTAGCCAAGAACTGCATGGTACAGGGATGGCTTGTTTGGCAGGCTGAGCTCACCCACAGGTTCACGGTCACTGACAACTGGGCCAATATGGTCAAGGCTGTCTGTGATGCCAACTTTGCTGGCATCTGCTGTGTGGCACACAGGATGCACCTGATAGTCACAGACACCTTGGAGGGTGACAGGGCTGCTGGTGATGGTGCCGCCACCACTAGCACTATGAGCCAACTGATTTCAAAATGCAGAAAGGTGTCGGGCTACTTCCATCGCAGCATCAAGGGGGGAAGATGCTGTGGGAGAAACTGGCAGAGCTGAGCATCCCACAGCACAAAATCATGCAGGATGTGGAGACTCTGTGGAACTCCACATACCTGATGCTCGAAAGGCTGGTGGAGCAACAGAAGCCCATCCATGAGATGGCCTTGTTTGGGGAGATAGGGATCAGTGGGCCCCTGAACAGAGCTGAGTGGGGTACCATCTCCCAGATCCTGGTGGTCCTCAAGCCCTTCCTCAAGGTGACTGAGACCCTCAGCACTGGTGATGCTCTCCTTAGCCAGGTGATCCCCCTAGTAAGGGAACTAGAGAACCAAAGGGAGAAGTTCCAGGGGATCGATGTTCCTGGCTAGGGCAGGCTGCTGTCACCAGATGTGCAGGCACTGGTGAGGCAGCTGAAGGAGGGCATCAGGAGATGGCTGGATCCCTTGCGGTCTAGTACAGTCCACATGCTGGCAGGCATGTGCAACCCGAGAGTGAAGGGGAGCATGTGCACTGGCAGCACCAAAACCCTCAATCACTGGATGCAGGTGCTAGTCAACAAAGTCAGGGAGGCAGAAGGGAAGAGGCAAAGGGATGTGGAGGAAGGGGATCCACTTTCCTGTGCCAGCACTCCCAGCACCAGCACCAGCCAGTCTCCTCCACACTAGCCACTGCCAATGTAGGCCAAGTGCCAATGTGGGCCAAGGCCATGGTTTCAATGCTGGGGTCCAAACGCACCAGACCCCACCCTTGGGCAGGTAGCGCCAAGGCTTCGGTGGCTACCTGTCTTGCTGAGGAAGTGGAGCCACTGGACTGTAACCTCTTGGCCTACTGGGCAAGCCGGAGCCAGATGTGGCAAGATCTGGCCACAGTTGCCCGGCAACACCTGTCCTGTCCACCAACCAGTGTTTCAAGCAAGAGGGTGGTCAGCATTGCTGGGGACGTTGTCACACCCCACTGAACCTGCTTGGATCCTAGTTTGGTGGAGCAGCTGGCGTTCTTGAAAGTGAACCTCCCACTGCTGGGGTTCCCCAAGCTCCACCTGCAGATAGACTGCGTGCCACCCTCCTCACTCTGTCTGCACCTATTTTCTTTTTTCATTTTTTAAAAAACAGTTAATGCCCCACTCTTAGCTGGAGGAGGCACTCACTGCATCACCAGCCAGCAGGGGAAGAACATGTCCCTGCTGAGCTCGCTCCCCTGCCAGGATGAATTTGGAGGTATGGCCTGGGGCTATGGGGAAGGAGGAGGCCCCAGGTCCTGGGCATGACCACTAAAACTGCACTCTGCCCACGTAGGGAGGCCTGGTGGGACTGCTGGCAGTGCAGGAGCTCCATAAATGCCAAGACCAACAATCCCCTGGTGAAAGGTGGGTAGGAGCCTCCATACCCTCCAGCT